TTGTTGTATACTCCAAATGTATACTCCTTGTTGACTAATACTTAAGAGGAACAAAGTAAGGATAAGTTACAAATTCTACCCATTTATCACTTAAAACAATATTCACTGAAGTGTATTTATTGTAGATATTCTGCTTGGTATTGCAGATACCAAGACAAATGGGAATGGATCCTTGCTCTGAAGAGCTCACAGTCCCATATTCTTAAGAAGCTATCAATTTTGTGAGGGAAATCAAGACAAGTATACTTGTGTCATGTTTCCCCGAAAATAAGACACTGTCTCATATTTATTTTTTCTCAAGAAGACACACTAGGGCTTATTTTCAGGGGATGTCTTATTTTTTATTAAGTATAATACAACAATCTACATTTATTCAAATACAGTTAAGTCATCTTCTTCTGGAACCTGACGGGGGAGCAGACCTTGTTGGTGGGGCTGGCGCTAGTGACGCATGAACTCCTTTCCCCTAGCTGTTCACACATGTACAATAGGATGCCTGCGACTGTGGTTACCACATGCTCAGCTGCGCAAGTGCCAACAGCTCAGAGAAAGGAGCTGTGGCAGATAAAAGGTATTCCAGTCTTCCTTACTGCTCTGCGCAAAAATGCAGGGCGAGGCTAGGCAGATAAGCTACATAGCTATGGCCATCATTAGGTCTTATTATGGGGTAGGGCTTACATTTAACAAATGCATAGAAGTCCTGCTAGGGCTTATTTTTGGGGTAGGTCTTAATTTCAGGGAAACACGGTAGTACCAATGTTACCATTTACACGAAGTAAAACTACATTTTATGTTTCCCTGATAATATAATTGGGTTCCGTCCTTGGCCCTCTTCACTTTATAGAATCTTCCTGGGTGACTCATCTGTTCTTTCATGGTTCTACCATTCACAATTCACAAATCTATCATCTCTAATCCTTACTTCTCCACTGAGTTCCAGACTTACATTTTTAATTGTCAGCAAGACATCTCCATCTTGGTGTCCCACAAACATCTTATATTCAACATATCCAAAACCAAACTCATTCTCCTGCCTCTCCAACCTGCTTTTCCACCAATATCCTCTCCCTTAGTTGATGGACTAGCTGGCCTCCCAGCTGGCTAGAAATCATGTTGTTCTCTTTGACTCATCCTTCTTCGAATTTTCTTTCATACATTAGTCACCAAGATCCATTGTGTCTATCCAGAAATGTTTCTTTGTTGTCTCTTCTGGTGCAGAATCTCATACCTTTCACTTGTGCTACTGTGGCAGTTCCCAACCCCACCTGAACAGGTCCCTCTGCTCTAGGCCTCCTCTTCCCAATGCTTTGTCTACCCTGCTGCTAGATAGTGTCTTGATGTAAGATCTAATCTCATTCATCTCTTAAGGTTTCTTTCCTGCCTCGCCAAGTCTTCAGAGTAAGTCCAAACTTATATATAAGACACTTCACAATCTTGCTCCATCAACTTTTCCATCTTGATCATTGTGAATATAATAAAGAAATGAAACTCTGAACTTTGCCTCTAAGTCATCTCTTTAACTCATCTTTGCTTACTAGTTCATTATCTGAAATTCGAACTAGTTTTCTGCTCTCCATTTTATGATCATCTCCAAGAAGAGCTAAAGTAGATGACTCCTTCATGCCACCATCAATAGTTTCTTTTATTCCTCTTGGGGGAGGGGTATTAGTCTTATTAGCCCTGAACTACTATAAAAGACCAAAGTTATTCCCTCTGGCTTCCTTGTGAATAAGCATCACCCTCTATGTTCTTGTAACTGACCTATAATCCTGTTTATGTCCATCATGAGAACTGAATATTCCTGGGAAGTCACTTTCTTATTCATCAAGGTAGTCACATCAATCATATTCATCTTCTTTAATCCAAGAATTTCAAAATCAAAATAAAGCTCAAAAGTAACTTAGGTAAGTACCTTTTCCTATGCATAAGTGCCTGGTATAGTAACTTTGATAAGAAACTTTCCATCCTTTTGAATACCTGCCTCTAGGGTTGTGGAACTTACTATGGCTGAGACACTCATTCTGTCATTGGATGTCACCAGGTGTTAATAGTTCTTCTTTTACACTAAGACAGACTCCCTCCCCTTGTAATTTCCACTCCAATTCAATTTTACCTAGCCAGCCAGAGTGTTTCCAATCCCTCTTCTACACGATTTCACTTCAAACATTTGGAGACACTTCCCATGCTCCCTGTTCCAAACCGTCTAATTAGTCCTCATATAAAATTCAATGGCTAAGCAGGTGGTTCATGGGCATTGTAATTGGGGCCTCATTTATCCTTCCACTGAAGTCTTCATCTCCTTAGGACAGGGGTCCTCAAACTTTTTAAACAGGGGGCCAGTTCACTGTCCCTCAGACCGTTGGAGGGCCAGACTATAGTTTAAAAGTACAGGCAGCAGCTAGGCAGGATAGGCAGCAGCGGCAAAAACACCTGGACTGTGGGCCCCAGGACTAGTCGGCTGCTAAACAGGACAGGCAGCTGCGGCAAAAACACCCGAACACCCGTCGGGCCACCTGTGGTCCGCAGGCCGTAGTTTGAGGATGCCTGCCTTAGGAGTTGATCTCAGAAATCACGTTGCTCTCCTGGTCTCACACAAAAAGAGTATCTAACAAATAGGCCCGTAGGACATGACAACCAAAGAATTAGAATTTTTAAAACTATAAAGGGACATCAAGACAAGACTCAGTATTGTGTATTTGGAAAGTTAATATAGTATTTTATGGGCCTGGAAAATGTTTTTAGATTTCAAACTAGCCCTTTAAAGAAGTAACACAACTAGTTTAAGGTTCTATCCTTGGCCCTCTTCACTTTATAGAATCTTATGTTGCTGTCGTAAGGTTCCATGACAAATTAATCATGCTTTGAATGTCTCAAATTAATGTGGAACACAGAAGAATTATGTGTCTCTTCTCCCCAAAAACCCTAGCATATATGTTTATCTTGTAGATGTGCTACTACTCCCACTGCTGTGAGTTTTGATCTGCAGCCTTCCCAGTTTTCCTTTACACTTCATCTTTTCTTCCATCCAACATTGGTGACCATTGTCAAGCGAGTCTTCCTTTCACACACCTCTTAGTTGCTGACCCCTTTCTGCCCTGAGAATAGCATCTTGGCCCAAGTTGTTCTGTATGTTTTGATGGAGAAGAATGCCCTTTCATACGTTTCAGAACATCTTCAGCTGAAAATGCTTTCTCTCTATCCATTTCCCCCATGTTTGTGGGATACTGAGACCAAATTATTTAAAGTGGTTTTTACCTGGCCTCCTTTTACTGCACAGGCAATTACTTCTCTGCAAATAGCTGCCCTGGCCAAATAACTGTGTTCACAATTAGCTAATTGTAGGCTCAATGAGCCACTTGTTCCTTCAAACTTGGCTATAAGAGTTGTGTGATTAAGCAAAAATTTATCTTTTTATTACCTTCTGATTTACAGAGTCACAATGGATCCCAAATCTCATCTCCCTGTGTTCTTTTACAGTGTCAACATGTGCCTTTTACTGTTTCATTTCCTATTGAATATCTGTCACATTTCCATTCTCTTACAAGTCACAACAGTTATACACTTTATATGCTGGACCCAAGGATTATGTTTTAATTAAGTCAACCTTCCAAATAAGTTAGGCCATTATTACCTTAATCCAATTTGAAAAATATATTAATAAATAAAACTAAAGCATCAGAATAGTGGATTTTACAAAGTCACATAATCATGATAAAGGCTAAAACTAAAACTCCTAAAGCAGGCTCGGTGCCCGTAGCATAGTGTTTACGGCGCCAGCCACATACACCGAGGCGGGCAGGTTCGAACCCAGCCTGGGCCAGCTAAACAATGACAATTGCAACAAAAGAAAAATAGTCAGGCATCGTGGCAGACACCTGGAGTCCCAGCTACTCTGAAGACTGAGGCAAGAGAATCACTTAAGCCCAAAAGTTTGAGGTTGCTGTGAACTATAATGCCACAGCACTCTATTGAGGGGGACATAGTGAGACTCTGTCTCAAAAAAAAAAAAAAAAAATCCCAAAGCAATGCCACTTTCTTCATGGGGATTGAGTTTCATACAGGGGAAAAAAAAAAAAAAAATTACCTCGGACCTCACTTGCCTTAAAAGGAGAGACCCTTATATATGCCCCCAAATTGCTGTCACCTGTTCTCTTGGAAGCTATAGAAAATGTAATTTCATTTGAAAAATAGCATCACGTATATATCCTGAACTACCTTTTCACCTACAATTAATGCAGTTTAATTTTTGTAGGTTTTACTCTAATTTTCTTGTTCAGCCAACATTTAAAGAGCACAAAATAATGCTCGACTTTCAGTTTCATATAAAGACATTAGATCCCAATGATTTTCCTCCAATCTATGAAAAAGGAAAAGTAGCCAAAAGTAATGAGTTTTCATATATGAAGAAATTAATATTAACAAGGATTAGATGTATTTGTTTTGAGAATAACACAGACACTTTTAGTTTTAAGAAACTTGCCTTCCAATTAAACATTTAGCATATCTTTTAAACAGCTAAGCACCTTTTCATTGGGTACCTTTTATCACCAAACCCAGTTTTTAGCTATCTTTCTTTATGTTGGTCTTAAGTGGAGGTGATAGAGTGCAAAAAGAGGTCCTGACACAGCAGAGAATTCTGATCTTCCAGTAATCTCTACCCTGCTCAAAAAGCCTCTGGCAAGTTCTTCAAAATTAGCATATAAAAAGACAAGTAAATTATAAGAGAAAAGAGAAATCAGGGTTAAAGGTGAAAGTGGAAAGAAGGTGGGAAAAACTAAGCAGAAGTATTAGGGACAATAATAAAAAGAGAGTCAGAGCCTTCAAAAAACAAGATATAGTTAAGTTCAGCTACTGTCTGTAAAAAAACATATTCTTAAAAGGTTTGCCTATGTGCAAAAGCTACAGACAATGTATACAACCTACCAATCCACACGGGGAGAAAAGGGAGAGTAGAGTGCAAGTGGTCTACAATGAAAATGTCACCTGTGGTTCTCACTTACCCAACACCAGCACTTCCACGAAGTCCTCATTTTTGCCCTCCAGGTCATCGGGGGTGGTGATAATACAGTAATAGAGTCCACTGTCTCCCCACATGAGTTTTCCAATTTGAAGATCTGCATCTGTTACCACAAAAAATAAGGACGAGTCCTAAACCTGTCCTCTGAAAGAAAAACATTGAGCAATAGGGGTTTGGGAGGAGAGAGCCCTTCTGGGATGCCTGCAGTGTTCTGTTTCTTTCCCTGGATAATGATGGAAAGATACGTGCTTTATTTAAAATAAACAGAGGAGAGAGAAGGCAGGCCAGATACCAACCATCTAATGCTAGTCCAATTTCAGGAGCAGATGATGGTTTTGAACCAGGCCTGCAGAGGCTCTGAGTGCTAGATAAATAAAACTGGAAATAAACTGACTTTACAGAAGTTCTTCAAAATTCAAATAATCAAATAGGTCATATCAGACTCTTGGGACTTTTTGTTTTCCAGAGGTTTAGGGGAACAAGAGAAAGGGTGGAATTGACTGATGCAAAGCCACCTTGGATCAGGCCAGGCCATCTACTTGCCTCTATAACTTATATGCATATGTCCCTTCTCCAAGCACAATTCCCAGCAGAGAAACTTTTAGGAAAGTCCACTTTCTACATTTGAGAAAGGGCCCCTAAGGGCTGATGTCAAGGTGTAGGAAGTTTGTCTGAAGACGTTCTTTCCCAAGAAAGAACTCATTTCAATTCACTTCTGAAAACAAGCACCTGAGACTTGCTGTTGGGCTCTAGAAAGAAGACTATTTCCAAAGCTCATCTGCTTCTTCTCTAGATACTACACTGCCCACTCTTCCTCCTCCCTTCACCATCCCATTAAAGCAATCTGCTAGGTCTCTTGGTATTTCCATCTCTAATAAATCAAAGTTTTGAGGGTTTGAAAGGGTGAGAGGTGGACATCCCTTTACAGATAAAGGGAAGGGAAGAATGCAGCCCATTTCCTAGAGTCAAAACAGGGGCATTATTACCATGAACAATTGTGATCTCTCTGCCCCTGTAGAACTCTCCCAGGGTGACAGTCGAGCCCTGTTTTGAAGCTACCACTCGGACAGTCCTCCTGCTGTCTAAACAATCCAAGTAGGGGTCCCACTCCAGGTTTCTCTTGCTGAGAGACTGGGCCCGAAGGGAGGACATGCCCAGGGATTCTCCCATGCGATCCTGGCAGTAGGACTTGAACTTCCATTGCACGACTGCAGGCTGATGGGATGACGTGGAGAAATGGCAGCGAAGCACAGTGGGCTGGAAGAGCATGGCCACCTTCTTCTTGTCGGGCACTGTGACCTGAAGGCCTTTAGCCATGGCTGCAAAACAGAATGAACATGTCCAAACAATGTCTACATATTAGACCTTACCTTCCACCACATGGTCATGTTTTTCCCCCCTCTCTTCCCTAACCTGCATCCTCCCCCACCCCATTTTCACTATTACAATTAGTGATTTCCGTATCTATCCAGTTGCCTGTGTAGAAACACTCCCTCACTCCCTATATCCAGTTAGTCACTAAGTCATGTCAATTTGATCTTCTACCATCTTTAATATTTCTTCCCTTCTTTTTTACACTGTTACCATTGCTTTTGTTTAGGCCCTTTTCATTTCTTGCTTATACTATTTTAATAATCTCTTGTCTGGTCTCCCTCCCTTCAGTCTGTCCTCGTCTAAAACATTCTCCTTGCTATAGGTCAGGTGATCTTTCTGAATCTGACTATAATGGCTCTCTTTCTTACCACCCTTCACTGATCCTCCCTGGCCTTCAGGATAAAACTCCAAGTCCTTGGCAAAGCATCCAAAGTACTACATTATTTAGCTCTTTCTACCCCCAGAGCCTCACCTCTCACCTCTTGAAGCCTCTATTCAAGCATTGAGCTCCAAGAATATCAAAGAACTAACAGTTTCCCAAATGGGACATGAGGTTTTACATGCGTAAGTCTTTGTACATGATGTTCCCTATTTCTGGAATGCTTTCTCCTCATATCTCTTCTGGGGAAAACTCTTTTATATCTTTGAAAACCCAGTTCAAGGTCTTCCTGCAAAGCCTTCTCTGACCAATCAGTAAGTTTCTCATATCCTCCTTTGCACCATGAGTATACCCAGCATTCTCTTCTAGACATTTACCATAACAATTTTGAAACATTTATTTTTATGCCTGTCACCCATCAGATTTCTCAGGTAAGGAATCTTATCTTGCTTCCCTGGCCTGGGGAGCCTATCGGTACTCAACAAATACTTGATAAATAATGACTATGAAACCAGGACGTGTGACTTCAGGAGGAAGTGACTTCCCTTCCAGTTGGTGATCCAGCAAAGGGGACAGAGATGAAGGGGAAAAGAAGTCTTTGAAAGAAACGGAGGATTGCAGATCAAAAGCAGGAGACTAAGTTCAAAAGCTTTGAAGGGTAATCAAAAGAAGAAAAGCAGATGAGAAGTTTAAGTGGTAAAAAGACCCAACCTGAGGCTTGGTGACCAAGAAAGAGAGGGAAATTTCAGTGAATGAGAAACCAGTGTAGTGTTTGAGAGGCAAAGGATTTATATGAACTTAATGGTAAGATGTAGAAATTCCAAGCAAAGAGAACATTATGTCCTCAGTTGAACAAGAGAATCAAAAGTTACTAGCTGGATAATAGAGGTAGAAACAAATGAAATTATGATGGTAGGATGACGAGGTTCTGAACTGAATTCAGGTAGCTTAGGGAAAATAGTTTCAACCTAGAACCACAGCTTGAACTTCAGACATGTAAGAAAGACTACTTTGGGGCGAGGGGTCCTGTCCTTTATTAGTGCTAGTGTTCACTATGACATCCTATAAAGCAAACTCACTCTCAACAGTTCACACACACACTTATTTAAGAATATATCTTTTTGCTAAAGCACCCTTGACAAGGGCAAGATACCATATTTGTGTTCACATCTTCTGATATCTAGAACAGTGCTTCTCCTTAGTGAAGATACAATGAAAAACTAGGTCCTGATTCTTATTAGAAGAAAAAGGTTTCTGCATTCATTTTTTTAGAAGTGAATTCAGCAGGGCAGTTGAGATTTATCAAATCTTAAAGTGTTTTGGAGATACAGTGTTTTTAATAACTACCTATGAAATACATTGTAAAAGGCTAAACAAATGAATGACTACTAATATGTGAATTTTTAGGACTTTGCAGAGAAAACTGGCAAAATGAGTTATAGATAGCATGATGTAGTAAACAGTGTAGGCATCAAATAGGCAGGGCTTTGAATCTTTTCTCCTAAAAGTAAGGCCTTCATGAAGTTTCTTAAACAACCAGAGACTCATTTTCCTCACCTATAAAAGGAGCATTTAACTTACTCCTGGGGTCATAAACAAACATTTTTCTCAGTGGGCATCTTCAGAGAGTAGACTCACTAGAAGAGCATCATGAGAGGTAAAGGGTAGATCTCAGATACAACCCTCCCTCCCCTTTCCAACCTTTCCCCTCACCTCTCATTCTGAATCTCAATGACCATCCGTCATCATCATGTTTGATTATTAGCCCCATCACAGGGCAAAAAATTCCGTCTGGAAGTGCACTGAAGAACCCCAATTCCCAAGAGTCCTTTCACCACCCTCCAATGCTGATGTGACAAATTCCATTCTTCCTGACTCACACAGTTGGATTAAGAAAATTAAATTTGTTTGCAAATTCTCCTTAAATTCTACTGGGTTAACTTTTTGACCTTGTAATTCTTATTCATACTCCAATTTTTCAGAGTATTTCAAAATGGGATAGAGAGGTGAAGTGACTTGAGTAAGCAGTGGTTAAGCCTGGACAGCCAATCACAGGCATCGTATGCTGTGTGCTTAACCACACCTTTCTGGTCTGCTACCTATTCAGGCTTTACTTGCGAAATCCCATTTCCTACCTTTTCTAGTATAAATAAAACTAGAAAAGGAGAAAGGTACTACACAAAAGTTAAGAGTTATTTGTTTATTTATTTACAGAGTTAAATTTAGGGTTTTGTTCATTAAATGATTACTAAGAATAACCTCCTTCCCAGTTCTGTTCTCTGTTAATGAGCAAGCGGCTAGAATCTCTTAATTATTAATAGAGGTTAGTCAATTCTTAGTTTCTTCCATGACATATACGTAACTTCATGTCCCAAAGAATAAGGAATAGGTACTCAAAAATACCAGCATGAGAGCTAAAGACATGGATTTGGAGTCATAAATTAGAGTGCAGGCTTTACCACCTCATGTGACCTTGAAATAATGAACCCAACTCTCACCAATTTCGATTTCCTCACCAGAAAAACAGCATAACAGTAGCTACCTTATGTATTAAATGAGATTTTTAGGAGCACTTAGGACAATGATTTTTCAACCTGTGTGCTGTGGCACACTGGTGTGCCATGAGAGGATATTAGGTGTGTCACAAAAATTTTTAAAGACCGTTAAGTAAATTATTTGCAAAAGAAGTTCAAAACACAGTAAGTACATTTTTTTTACTTTTTTTTTTTCCAGATCAACATAATTTAACTGTGCCCTGGAAGTTTAACTATAGGTTCAAGTATGCTGTGAGTTTAAAAAAAAAGATTGAAAAACACTGACTTAGGATTATACTTGGTATACAGTAAACATTCAATACATGTAGTTGCTGCTGTTGCTGATGTGGTTGTCAAGAACAGTCTGTGGACTTTTGTGAAGCTAGGACAAAGCTAGAACTATGCAAGCACTAATATCAAAATGTGAGATGCTAAGTGTGTATGGCAGAAACTGCACAAGAGTGCTAGAATATGTCAGCAGGAGTTCAACAATGACAGTGCCCGGGGTGCTCATCACTGCCCATTACTTATTCACCCCCAGAAGTCAGAAGTGGACAGCAGCCCTGTGTGTTTGTATGCAGACATGCACAGGTCATGGGTACTTGTACCGGTACCACAGGAACCTTGAAACTCTAAGGATAAATCTAGATAACTGGAGACAATTAGGATTAGGAATTACAAGTCAGTGTCAGTTTATTGAATCTTTGGGGATCACAAGAGTGAAGAGTTAGAGATAAAGGTAAAAAATGCCAATCTTTGCTTCAGCTCTATTCAAACAGTAAGATGAATGCCTGCCTTGACCAGCTTATCAGGAGGATGAGACCTAGAACTGCTCTTCCAGCCCTAACCCTGGATCCGTGGTGAGAACTTTAGTTCCCTATACCTACTGAGCAGCATTTCTTCCTCTCAACCCACATTTACCTCACACAGTGACTGTTTCCACCTAATTGTCCTCATTTGCAATCTAGTTGTGCCGCTAGGACTGAAGCTTTGCTCTGAATTCTAGCTTGCTTGCCTAGAACCCACATACTAGTCCCTCCTCCTGATGTCCTGAGAGTTGGGTTTTGTTTTCTACACCCCTCAGGTACAGTTGATCAAAATCTGAAACCGTGATACTGCTATTCACCCAATATCCAAAATATCTCTCATGGGGTCCCCTATCCATAGATCAAGGCCTCAGAGATGGGGCTAAATTAGTGTATTGAGCTGAGGGCCTACCTCTTAGGGGGCTTTGTTTTGTGGGGTTTTTTTTATTTGTTTTTGTTTTTCTATTTCAGCACTTGACAGATACTAAAAACTGAGTACTTCTTATGCTGGAGTCTACACACCCTAATAAGAGTATATAACTTGGAATGCCAGATAAATAAATTAATATTTTCCAGCTGCTTTGTAGTATTGAGTTATGCATTTAATCTAAGAAATATTATTCACTCCAATAGTTCCAACTACTAGTTAAGTCTCAGACCTTCAACTCCCTTAAGCCTCCTTTGCATATTTAACAAATACTTCAAATTAAACATGTCTAAATTTCATTCATAATCTCCTCTCTTCCCCTCCAACTCTTGCTTATAAACTCATCCTTTCTCTATCCCTAAGTCTTTTTCCTATCCACCCATCCTGAATAAGTTCCTTCCAGATCCTGATCACATTCAGTTGGTCATACAGTCTAACTATCTCTCAAAATTTGATCCTTCTGTATTCCCACTGTCATTCCCTTAAATAAGGTTTCTGTTCCTGCTACCAGGCAATAGTTGTATAATGCTTAATTTGTTTCTGAGATTATGCTAAGTGCTTTTCATATAGTATCTTAATGAATTATTTAAAAAATCCTATAAATAGGTATTATTATTATTATACCTATTTTGTAGAGAAAGAAATAGATGTTTGGAGAATGTATGTACCCTGCCTAGAATCTCAGGGTTAGCATTTGACACAGTCACATTTGAACCCAGGTTAACTGGCTACAAAGCTCTTACCCATCCATCACTTTATACAAGTGCTCATTACCTCCTGAGTTTGACAACAGCCTCTT